ATTCTAGATTTGCTGAATCCATGTAGTTTATTTAATAAACATATTCCATCCTAAGTGGAAGAGGGGTTTATGAATTATTATTATTTTTTCACCTTTAACATTCATTAATTTGTCCTGTTGCAGTGATGAGGCGTGTACCAGTGGCCAGCTGGTGATAGCCAGCAGAGAGAGCCAGTATAAGATCCTCCACTTCCATCATGGTGGCCTGGACAAGCTGGCTGAGGTCTTCCAGCAGTGGAGGTGCTGCAGGGAAACCCAGCATAAAGACCAGGTCAGCTTACAAATCCAAAAGCTTTGAATCTAGTATTATTGGGAAACATGTTTTTTGTTTTTGTTTTTTTTTGTTTTTTTTTTTTGTTTCAGATTTTGGCTCTGTGCCCACCTATTTTGCTCAGTTGAGGTTTTTTTTTTTTTTTTAATCTGTTGTTTCAATCAGGTGTCAGATGAGAGGTCCTGCATGCAGTTTTCCATCCAGAGGCCCACCCTACCTTCGGCCGAGACCCACCCAGAGGAAAAGCTTTATCGGCGGCTGGATGTCACCACTTGGCTACGTCACCTCAACCACAATGGTCAGGTGGAGGAGGAGTATAAGCTACGCAAGGTACTTCTCTGGATGCATGTGTGTGCACATGCATGCCTTTACAATGCCGTGGGATCAGTTAGGTAAACATCAGTCTCTCCTGCTGCTCTCCACACAGTGAAACTTCACATTATCATGTTTTTTTTTTGTCTCCATCACACATACAGTACTGCAAGTCATTGTGAAAGGCAACCCCACGGTGTGTAGCTTTCAGTTTTAATCAGCACCTCCAGTCTGTAGCTAATGACAGGGTTGGTCTTGGCCAATTTCCCCTTGTGAGTCATTTGAGTTCTCTGGGATTGACTCAGTTGAGCATTTGCCGTCATACTGAAATGAATCAGTGACAGTTGGACTGTGACCAAGACAAAACATCATCAATAAACACGCAAATGCAGAAACCGAGCAGCACTCTTTTTGCTGGATATGCAGATTAAACAGTGTTTGTTTTGATGAAGTTTCTGTTTTGCAGCTTCTTGCAGCCATCAAATGTGCAACTGCACCACTCTGTCTTGTTGGCATGCAGTATGATATGTTCTTGCAGTTACAATATCTATCAGAAGTGTCCCCAGTTTGCCCTCTGAATGTCAGCAAGTGTCACTGTTTGTTCACCTCTCACTTCACCAGGCCATCTTCTTTGGCGGTATCGACCCATCCATCCGTGGCGAGGTGTGGCCCTTCCTGTTGCATTACTACAGCTATGACTCCACCTCTCAGGAGAGGGAGGCCTGGAGACTGCAAAAACGCACCCACTATCAGGACATCCAGCAGAGAAGGTGAGAAACAAGGGGAAAGACCTATTTGCTATATAGAAATGTAAAAATTTTCCTGCCGTCTGATAAAGTCTGTGCCGCAAAATGAAAACCGAGTTCAGTTCTCTGACTGAGACACAGCGGTGTTCTTGACACCGTGAAACAGCAGATAACGTGGCTGCAGTATCGGCTGCCAAATGCTCAGTCAGTCAAACATTAAACCATATGTGAGTCGATTGTGGCTCCTCATCGCAGGCACTGAGCAGTCAATAGGCACAATCAGGGAAGTGTTAAGGGGAGGTGCTGGGTGTGAAATAAAAGGTCTCTGGAGAAAAAACATGTCAGCACTTATCAGATCATACTCCTCAGAAGATAAAAAAAACACAGCTCTGGTACACACACACACATAAGCACATCCCTGAGTCTTTATTTGTCCCCACCCAAAGGTTAAGTGTGCGCCCATTTTCATCCACTGCGTTGTTCCATCTATAATGAATAAAGTAATTGGACAGGTTTCATCTGCATGACATATTAACATTTTGAGTACATCAGAAGGTCTTACTGAAGTCAGATAATTAGAGTCCTTGTACTGACTTTGCTGTGGATTCCTTTAAAGACCATTTCATTAGAGAAGCCTTCGGGGCCACTGGTTGATCATTAGGAGCAAGGATACATAGCTGTGGTTTTGTTCCTTGTCTCCTAACCTTGTTTCCTTTCCTTAGCTGTGATAACTGAGCACCTAGAAATGGAAGCAATGAAACGCTGCTGGTTATGTCATATTTATGGATTGATAGAAGTCAAGTTTTTGTTAGGAAACTGCCACATAACAGGCTTTATGCAAGAAAGTGTCCTCTCTGCCTGGCATGAGGAGTTCTTATTTTATTTTTTTTATGTACCAGTAACTTAAAATGCCAAAGATCTTATTTATGGTTTAGACTTTGGAAAAAGAAGAGGACATTTGCTTCTTGCTCTCAGTAATGTTCTCTTTGTTCTTAAATTATTATTTTGAATATTCAGTTGTTTGATCTGTAGTGAAAAAAATGTCCATCACAGTTTCCCCGAGCCTGAGGTGACATCTTCAGATGTCCTGTTGAAAACCCAAAGATATTCATTATGCAGTTATATAAAACACAAGCACCTGACAGTGAAGAAGCTTGAACCAGAGAATGTGGTTCAAGAGAATGTGTTTTGTATTTTTTTTCTTTAAAAAAAATGTGATTATTAAATATATGTTTAATTGTTTGTGTACATTAGACTGTGCATCTTGTCATTACTGTTTTGTATTCATGCTTGAAAATAATAAATCTGGTTCGTACCCTGAGTGGCAACCTGAATGGCATCAGTCATGTGCATGATTTGGTGCTTGTTATTAAGTTTTGAGTTAATTGTGTTGTGTCCTTGTTTCTGTTTTGCATATATTTCCTTGTTCACTTTTGCTAAGGATGGACATTGCAAACAGGCTTAGGCTGTGGAATGTGGCACTGGTTCATTCTATATACATGTCCCCGTTTAAAAAAAAAAAAAAAAAAGAGACTATATAGAATGGGGAAAAACAGTATAAGACACCACTGATTTCCTATTTGGTATTCCTGTTTCTAACTTTATATTTCTGAGGATAGTATGGTAAAGTGTTGCAAACATGTACTGAACTCTTGAGCAGCATCCTCCAGAGAGAGAGAGAGAGAGAGAGAGGTAGTCAGGGAGGGTCCAACAACGCAAACACACGGCACTGAAACAGTTGCATGGCGTTGCATCAGGTGCGTGCACATTATTCCTGGTGGGGCCGCATGAAAAACAAACACTGTTAATTAAATCCCCTCTGCTTGTTAGGACTTGAGTACATTAGTGCCATACACAGAATACACTGCTAATTTACTCCCTAACATTTAGAGGGATAGATGGGGCCTTTTATGGTTGTGGTATTGTCCTCAATAGAGTGCTTGATGGTGAAATACCCCTTCAGTCCACTGCTTGCCCACCCCCACATTTTTTAGTTCATTTGCACCTGGCTATTAGTGTTTTACACCAGAGTAATATTTGAGGTTAAGATTATTTGCTAATGCTTTATTTTTTTGTATCCTAATTACCAGGCATTTCCTTAGAGATCATGTAGTAAAAACTTTAACCTCACTTGCGTTTTTTTCTTTTTACTTTATCATAACTGAGCCAGTTAACTTTGGAAACGAGTCAAGAATATATGTGCAGGATTCAGTGACTTCTTTAAATTTAAATGTTCTATTCCTGTTGATGTTTTTATGTGTGCGTTTTAAGATTATCCATGAGCCCTGAGGAACACAGTGAGTTTTGGAGAAAGGTCCAGTTCACAGTCGACAAAGACGTGGTGAGAACGGACCGCAGCAACCATTTCTTCAGAGGAGAGAATAACCCAAATGTGGAGATCATGAGGTCAGACCACGTCTCTTCATTTTGCCATTCTTGATTGATTGATTCTTCCATCTTTTTTTCCGATCCCTATCTCTAGCTCTGTCTCATTTGCCCTCTCCTTCTGTCACCTTCTCTCAGTCCATCCTTATCATTTCCATTACTCAACCCAACGCAGAGGCATACCTATTCATTTCATATTCTGAACCCTGGGGGACCCGCAAATGAGTTTCATGCTTTATTGACTCTGACTAAGCCGTTGGAGCACTTTTGATGCATACTCGTAGCTAATGGCTTTCTAAACGAGGAGCAAGAGGATTTAAATAGCATATTAGTTCAGTGACTCTCATCGAGGTTCCTGGTATTTGTCTAGGTATTATGTGGGGAGGGGTGATACCAGGGCTTGCACATATCTAGAGGAGGAACACATCTCTCACAACCTCCGTTATCCCCATTCTACTGTATTGATGTCGCAGATACGTTTCTCAGGGTCATTCAGTCTGAGCAAGTCATTTCACCCTGAGATACTGGCATCTTATCATTTCTGTCTTTAATTTTGCAAACACAAAACCCACAACAAAATCTGCTTCCCAACAAACTCATCATCTTAGTGTTTTCTAAATGATAAGCGTTTCCTCTGTTGTTAATATTGCACTAAAGTGATTTTTAAAAAATTCTCCTACGGGTTTTCCTTTGTTTATACAGTACAATACTTACTAATGCATGAGAACTGCCAGGGAAGTTATCTTCAAAGTACTATTCATATATAAAAATGAGGGAAAAAAGAAGAAATATCATTAATTAGTTTCTTGGTTACCAGAGGAGTTGGCATAGCAACAGCTCTAGTAGGGCTGGTTATGTTTTCTGAGCATTGCCACCAGTTCTGAAACACATGTCGGATCATTCAGAGTGCTTGGGTGGACCATACGTTTTAGTGGTTTCACTGAGCTGCTACAACATTTCTATACAAGTTGCTGTCAAGCAGCTGCAGCATTTATTGTGCTGTATTGTCCCATCATATTAAAAGTGTGTAGGTGTTACACGATAGCACTAAGATGTCTGTGGCTGTTCTTGCCCCAGGCGGATTCTGCTCAACTATGCAGTGTTTAATCCAGACATGGGTTACTGCCAGGGAATGTCTGACCTGGTGGCCCCCCTGCTCACTGAGATCCAGGATGAAAGCGACACCTTCTGGTGCTTTGTCGGCCTCATGGAGAACACTATCTTCATCAGCTCGCCACGGGATGAAGACATGGAGAGACAGCTAGTAGGTTGTTTCTGTGTGTGTCTGAGTTCAGCAAATGTTAGGGTGTATCATAGAAGTAGAAAAACGCTAGAATCATGCTTCTGAAGAGATACATTTAGAGGTACCAGTATACTCCTTCAGAAGTACTTATTGGATGGTTGAATAGTTTCTGAATTTGCCACAGCAAAGGGTTTGAAGACTTTTGTAAACCAAAACTCCCAGAAAACAATTTAGGAACATGTTTTCACTTTGCGTCCAGATGTATCTTCGGGAGCTGCTGCGCCTCATGTTGCCCCACTTCCACCAGCACCTGACCAGACTCGGGGAGGACGGCCTCCAGCTGCTCTTCTGCCACCGCTGGATCCTGCTGTGCTTCAAACGAGAGTTCCCTGACACTGAGGCTCTGCGCATGTGGGAGGCCTGCTGGGCACACTACCAGGTCAGGGCAAAGTCCAAATGGCTCCTTTGCATACACAAGCTTGTAAAAAATAAGTTTTACATATACTGTATGTGTGCACGAGGGATTCTGGTGCAATTCGGTTTCGCTACAACACCAAATATTTGATGGTTTTTCAGTAGCCATGTAGAAACAAATTGTTAAAACAGAAATGTCATTTTTATCCCTTTAAGCCTGTCACCTCAGACTACTGCAATCCTGCTAAATGCCTATAAAATGTCATATTACATCTTCTTGGTCTTGGAGGAATTTAATTCAGCAGTGGTTAGATTAAATGTTTTTCAGTAAGATTTACCATGCTCTTCCATAGCATCCCACATTTCAGCCGAACCCTGTCTATTTAATTTTATTGCTTTGTAGCAGCATAATAGCTGTAGAAATGCAAATTGTAAAAGGTAAACAAACTGTAAACATAAATTAACCACATATAACTTGTACTGGAAATCAGTTTGTGTATTCCAGGGCATGTTTTTTTCCCACCCCCTCTGTCATGTAAACTTGTAACTGTGTTGCATTCATTGCCGTGACACAGAGCTTAGCACTTCTTGCTGAGATGGAGTCAAATATCAGTCTCTCTGCCTCGTGCCATCTGTTCAGGCTAGATGTTCTGATATTCAGCTACAGGTGGTGATAGAGGAGATAGCAGAGTGAAACCTCAGTTTAGGCAGTTGGGTGTCATACACTGGATGAACCAAAAACAAGAATTTTTTGGTTAGTATCTGATTTTTCTGTAAACAAGTACTGACTGAGCAGTAAGGCGGAGGACACAACGTTTAAAGTTCAAAAAAAGATGGGCTTTTTATTAACCCCAAAATAAGAAAAAAATACAAATGTCGATATCAAATAAACTGGGCACTAAAAGAGGTCAACAAAAGATGAGGAAACTCAAAATACAGCAAACTGAACTGCACAGTACTGTAGGATATGGTTCGTCTTACCATGCTAACTCTGAGAGACAAGACAGTCCAAGTAACTTCAAAACAGTGCTGATTTATTCAAAGGATCACAGGTAAAGTTAACATTACACGCTCAGGTATCTTGCACCTCCAAACTGCACGCAGGCAGATGTAAGATGAAAGACCCTGAACCCACCAGGCCTATACATTATATCCCCTCGGTTGGGCTAGCCCCATACTACACAGAAACGTCAACCGAGACGTCTCTGTTACCAGCTTTGCAGCTGGTCATAGCAGTAGTCAAAACATGAAGCAAATCAATGTGTGTGTGTCTGTTGATTAAGTGGTGTGTAGCTAAAAACATTCTCACATGACCTCTAGTACATGTCGTGGCTTAAACATAAGAACATATTATGGCTAAGTCTACAGTTATACACGTCATAATAATAATATTAAACACCCTGTCTGCTGACAGTCATCAACTCTTCTCTCTAGTTATCCTTGACCAGATGTACCCTGTAGAAACTCATAAGCATGACTAAGCATTTAACTAGACATCCTATCTCCACTAAACATTTCTAATACATAAAGTATCTATCCAATATCTATCTGACTAAAAATACCTAACAGTACCTAAAACAAAAAAACCAAACAGAAAGACCTAACAAATGAAGAAACATACTGTATATACTGGCTGGCCAAACCAATAACACACATAGGGATTGGACAAGGACACCATCTATATAATCTACCAATAAACACTGAACAGACAGTCTGCTAACAACAAAATATTTTTGTTTAGATGTAAAAAAAAAAAATAACGCAACTTGACAAATAAAGTTTTAGCATAAACTACAAACAAATAAACAATTTATTTCTTCCAAACTCTCCCCATCCCCCCCCCCCCTTCTTGTATTGGGCACATGGTACAGTCCAGGCCTAGTGTGGGGTATTTAAGGCTGCTGCTACCTCAGTCCAATCTTTTTTTGTCAGGACCACCCCCATCCATGGACCAGGAACACAGCAACTCAAAAAAGAAAATTTACACACATTAACTCAACTCAACTTTATTTATATAGCGCTTTACCACAGCACAGCTGACCAAAGCACTTAACATATCATGCAAATATAAAAACAACACATAAAAGCTATAAACAATAATATTAACACTACAGACAAAGTCTCATTCCTGGCCAAACGCCAATGAATACAAGTGGGTCAACACAAAACTAAACAAATGTGCGTGCTTCATTGGTTAATTGTGTATGTCCAATGTCAAATCAGATGCTTAACATGTAACTTAAATCTACACATATGAACAAAGACAGCAAAAGAACATTACTGAGCTAATTCCACTGCTGGTGGTGGTGGTGGTTTAGGCCCTCACATGGTGAAGGCCGGGACTGAGGCCTTCACACTTACTCATCCAAGTTGTTTCATTAATTTGACCTTTTCCTTTACAAACTTGAGCTGACTAAGTAGAGTTCTGAGACTGTGGTGAGACTGTAGGCCCCATTATTTGATCATTTCTACGTATATTCCTGCATTTATCTTCAGATTTTTACCTCTCCACTAACCTCATTCCCCTTTTGTTTGTTTTTTATAGACCGACTATTTCCACCTGTTCCTGTGTGTGGCCATCATTGTTCTTTATGGGGAGGACGTGACAGAACAGCAGCTTGCCACTGACCAAATGTTGCTCCACTTCAGCAACCTCTCCATGCACATGAATGGGGAGCTAGTGCTACGCAAGGTACCATCAATAAGTGCCTTTTAGTTTATTCATTAGTTTGTTTTTGCCTTCCAGTACATGTTTATGATTTATTCTGCACCCTTGTACATCCAAAGTTTTCGAGCACGTGTTAATTTTAAAATATTTCACTAATGTGGCTTGTGATCATGTGCACGGCAGTTCCTCCCCAGGCTACTGCATGCTTTGATTCAAACCAGTGTTGTGTTTGCGTCAAGTAGCCCAGTGCTGCAGCAAAGCAGTTTTGATATTCTGTAACTTGCCCACTGAGACATTGAGGAACTAAATGGGATGCTGCTGTGCCATGCAGAAGATTTATGATCTGCATCCCTGCTTCTGTATCTGTTTCCTCATGTTTATGGATGCTGTGTTAGTACTGCTGCAACCGCAGGCACCGACTTCATGTTGGCATGCAGCTGGAGTCACTCCTTTGTTGTTGCATGAGCTTTTGCAACCATTGTTTTAAGAGCAGGTGGTGCAGCTTTCTGGCTTCAGGTAGAACAATACAGCGCTGACCTTGATGGTATTTTGTTCTTTTTTTTTTTTTAACTGGAAATCAACGTCATGGATTTTAACGTCTTAAAATTGACGTTTGCTAGTATTTGTTTTGTATTGCCATGACTTTGTTTATTTTACACTTGCACATATTTTAGTTTATCCTGCCACTTTTGTCCTGCTTTTTCAGGCCCGCAGCCTTCTCTACCAGTTCCGCCTCCTACCCAGGATCCCATGCAGCCTACATGACCTTTGTAAACTGTGTGGCCCGGGGATGTGGGACAGCCGCTACATCCCCACTGTGGAGTGTTCGGGTGAACACTCAGACTCACAGAGCTGCCCCTATGGAGGCACTTCCACCCCACAGCCTTCCTCGCCCTCCCCGTCATCCACACCCTTGTCCTCACCAAACCCCACCCCCACACCTCCACCCGAGGGTAAGAAAGGCTCTAAAACCCGAGATATATTCACCTTCCGGAAACAGTCTTGAGGTGGAGGTTATGGTGAGCTTTTGCTTGTCTTGGCTCATGTTCATACAGCAAAGGTTTGGATCCATCTGCTGGATTCTTGAACTAGCTGCTGCCCTCTGGCTCCTCTCTCCACAGTCCCTGTTTCTAGTTTCACTCTTTTAAAGAGGAATTTTGTCACCCAGTCCTTTGATGTTGTGCACTGTGGGACTTTGCCTTAACAGAGTGTTCTTTGCAGTGTTCAGTATCACATGAATCGGTGATGAGGATGGTTTGCTGTTGCATGGGCTGGAGATCAAGAAGCTTGGAGCAGAATGGACAATCACTCACTGCGTGCGATGTTGGTCTGGAGCCACTTCAGGTTCTCATCTGTTGGTGGCTTGGCAGAATTTCATATGGCTTTGTGGGCAGGGGTCACATCAGGGTCTGAGGCAACCGTCCTGAATTTGAGCAGACTCTGACCGCAGGTCAAATGAAACTGCAGATTCATTCACAAGACTTGAACTAAAATGTCCCAGTATTCTCACAATGGAATACTTGTGTGAATATCAAATTATATGTGCACATCTAAAGTCTGAGCAGAATATTTTTAACATGCAACCCAAACCCTTGGTGTTTAACCAAGAACGGTTAAGCCAGAAATAGGATTATAACAAATGACTGGTACTTTCATTTTATTTTCCAGCAAGTGAATGTTTGCATTTATATCAGCAGTTATAAAATATTTACCAATATTATATCCTTGCATGAGCAGTTCTTTACATGTAGAGGGCACAACATGTTTGTTGAAAAACATGTAAGCTCAAAACAGAGGTAAGAATGTGTTTACATGACAAACACTCATGGCATGATTGGGCTCCACATATTAGCTCATCAGATTCTGGTAAGAGAACATTTTCATCATTTCTCTCTGTTACAGTGGTGTTTCTGGACAAACAGGAGGCAGCTAGCCATTTATTTCCTTCTGGTAAAGTCGGACAGCTGCTCATCGAGCTTCACTATTTACACATTAGCATCACAGGATATAAAATGTGTATAAATTCTGACGATTTGGACAGAAATGATAACATTATCTGCTAAAGAAGGCATAGATCATGTTTTATCTTGGCAGAGAAACTGATTTCCTTCTGTCTTACCTGAGGTTTTGTTTTCTGAGTTGAACCATTTTTAGGCAGGGTTGTGGTGTCGCCATAGTGGTTTTGTTTGTTTGTTTGTTTGTTTGTTTTTTTAATACCACCATCTTGACTCTGACCTGAAAATGAATAACGTATTATCAACACTAAGAATCAGTCCGCATGATTTTTGTTTTTCCCCCCACTCAAATAAAATGGTGTGAAACTCTTGCATGCATGGGTACGTGTATGAGTGTGTATAAACTGGAGTGACCTCTAAACATCTGGTAATAAGATGGAGAACTGCTGTAGAAGGCCTCTCTCTGACGAGTCTCTTTAATTATAGCAGTCATCATGAACTGGGGAGGGAAAAGAAGAAAGAAAGGCTGGCCATTGGGACTCTTCAGAGAAAAAGACAGACAAGGGAGATGGAGAGGAAAAGCATGATTTAGGCTTCCTACATGCATATGTAGCAATTTGCCTCGGTGATTTCAAGTCCCAGATGTAAAGATGGTCTCCATTCGGAGGCTTTCCCCCGACAGCTTTTGAGTGACACTCTTGGGAGTGAAAACATCTTTAAATCGCTGCTAAAATGTAACATTAAGACCTTCAATCAGCCTGCCTCCATCCCACTCCTCTCTCTTGTGGTCTTGTGCTCTTTCATTCAGCAAGCAATCTCTGCAAATTACATTTAGAACTGCTCCTTTTCCCTATTAGTTGTCATGCGCAACTGCTTTCTGAAAATGCTGGCAGAGTTTTGAAGACTGGGTGACTACATAGAAATGAGTGAAGTCAGAGATGCATGATGGGAAAGCAATCAAACCATGTGTGCATACATGTGCCTCCATGATCTCATAAATAAATAAATAAAAACTTCACTGAAATCACAGTCTACACAAGCTTAGACTGCACATACTGTATTTACTACTCAGTCATATTTTGACCAGTTATCACAGAATTTTTCAAATGATGCTCTAAAATATGTTGATGTGCTGCTCTACACAAAACTGTAAACAAACAGAAAAGGGCCTATTCTTACTCTTAGTATTAGTAAACAAAAAAGAAATCTGTCAGGCTTTTATCTAGTAAATGTTTTACTGAACACTAAAGTATATTGGCAATAGAACTGATAAATGTGACTCGGACAGTAACTGGCAGCTTATTCTATGCATCCAGGGGCCCAAGAGATCAGGGTACTCAAAACAACTACAGTCGCAATGATCACAAAGACGCAAAACAACCCAAAAAAAAGCACAAAATGACCACAAGGAGGCAAATAACTGACCAGAAAGAGATGAAAATGACCACAGAGACACAAAATGGCCATAAAGAGGTTGTACTGTTTATAGTTGCCTCTTCGTTTTGTAGCCCATTTTCTCATAATGTACTTCCATGGTCCCGATGCAACATGGGAGTACATAACCTTTGAACAGCTGCCGCTGTGGCCACCAGCGACAGATAAAGGCGAAGGTTAAATTCTAAAACACAGTTTTAACTGTAGAACAGAGGGAAGAGTCATCAAGTCAGTGAACTGACTCGGTAATGGTCACGAGCTGCATGAGTCACTGGTCATGAGTGTAGCAGCACTGAATTCAGAGAAGGAGCAGTTTTTACTCTTAAGCTTAAGAATGTGTTTGGTTTTTCTTAAAGTTGTATGTCTTTGTAGTATTTAACACATTTAACATGCTTTAGGAAGCTGTTCTGCCATTCTACATGGAGCAGCAGCAGGATTTGTCATGTGACACCATATGGAGGGGGTTTACAGCATTCATGTAATGTAACAATAATGCCTCTTCTATTATATTACACAGCTGCCTAGGCTGTGCACCAGTTTTACTAGAAATAATGGGGTGAAAGCAGAGTCTCTGGCTTCCTGAAACTGTTTACTTAGTTTTCCAGTAGCCATTACATCAGTAACTGATACATGAGAGGAAAAAACACTGTTGTTAGCATAAAGCTAACACATTTAGACAGGCAAGAAGATTTTCTCTGTACTTTTCAGCATTAATGGAGTCGTCGCACTGTTGTCATAGGGCTGCCTTTTGGCAGTACAGTTTTTAAGCAGCATTTGTGGATTTAACTACGTATTGTAGTGCCTGACACAGGTGTACCAAAGCAATCCTGAGCCCATGTGTTATATTGCTTGTAGAAGAATGACCATTCTTGTTGCAGAGCCGTCTGAGGGATCGGAGAGCACGGTCATCCAGCTTAGGCTTGAGCCCTTGCCCTCCAGATTCCTTGAATCCTTTTATCATGTTATGCATCATAGAGGGTGACAGATCCAAATCCCTTCCCATCTTCTTTTGAGGAACGTTGTTTTTAAACATTTCAATGATTTTCTCATGTATATGTCTGCTCCTAAAGGCTCTTCCTGGATGCCCATGGTCCCGATGCAACATGGGAGTACATAACCTTTGAACAGCTGCCGCTGTGGCCACCAGCGACAGATAAAGGCGAAGGTTAAATTCTAAAACACAGTTTTAACTGTAGAACAGAGGGAAGAGTCATCAAGTCAGTGAACTGACTCGGTAATGGTCACGAGCTGCATGAGTCACTGGTCATGAGTGTAGCAGCACTGAATTCAGAGAAGGAGCAGTTTTTACTCTTAAGCTTAAGAATGTGTTTGGTTTTTCTTAAAGTTGTATGTCTTTGTAGTATTTAACACATTTAACATGCTTTAGGAAGCTGTTCTGCCATTCTACATGGAGCAGCAGCAGGATTTGTCATGTGACACCATATGGAGGGGGTTTACAGCATTCATGTAATGTAACAATAATGCCTCTTCTATTATATTACACAGCTGCCTAGGCTGTGCACCAGTTTTACTAGAAATAATGGGGTGAAAGCAGAGTCTCTGGCTTCCTGAAACTGTTTACTTAGTTTTCCAGTAGCCATTACATCAGTAACTGATACATGAGAGGAAAAAACACTGTTGTTAGCATAAAGCTAACACATTTAGACAGGCAAGAAGATTTTCTCTGTACTTTTCAGCATTAATGGAGTCGTCGCACTGTTGTCATAGGGCTGCCTTTTGGCAGTACAGTTTTTAAGCAGCATTTGTGGATTTAACTACGTATTGTAGTGCCTGACACAGGTGTACCAAAGCAATCCTGAGCCCATGTGTTATATTGCTTGTAGAAGAATGACCATTCTTGTTGCAGAGCCGTCTGAGGGATCGGAGAGCACGGTCATCCAGCTTAGGCTTGAGCCCTTGCCCTCCAGATTCCTTGAATCCTTTTATCATGTTATGCATCATAGAGGGTGACAGATCCAAATCCCTTCCCATCTTCTTTTGAGGAACGTTGTTTTTAAACATTTCAATGATTTTCTCATGTATATGTCTGCTCCTAAAGGCTCTTCCTGGATGCCACCAAATCATGATTGCAGTCACCTGTTTCAAATGGAATCATCACTTTATCGTTTAACCTCATTACCGGCCCTAAAATGCAACTGTCCCGATATTTTTTGAACTGTGTTGCAGGCATCAGAATTGAAACTGACAGTATGTTCCCTTATTATTAAGATATAACATGGTTTTCAGTTTGCCTTCTTTAAACTCTATAAAGATGAAAAAGACGAGGTGTGAATTCTGCCTTATAGGTAATTTCCTTTCCAGTTTTCTGATAAACAGTATAAGGCCTCACATGAGAAAATGTAGCAGAGGCAGACGGTGCGTTTCCCAGCATTTAACCCTAGTGTGATCTTATCAGCTTCTGCTGTTTGTTGTGGCTGTTTGACAGTGTGTGTGATGGTTCAGGCATTTGACAGTGATCAACTGACTATGAGGACCAGCTGTGGAGACAGTAACTACCATCAGGTGGCAGCTTTCTTGAAAATGAAGAAAGACAGTCGGGCTGACAGTCATTCTTGGAGAATGACTCCAGCAGTGCAGGAACAAGATTTCAACCATTTTTTTTTTCTGTGGAAGACTCAGACATATTGCATTTGGCCGGGGTCAGCAGGAGTTGTGACATCTGAAACTCCCTTTCACCTCTCCTTGTCGTTCTGTTTTAACTCCTCACTATATTAACAATGATGATTAATGCAAGACAAGAGTGGGATGAGTGTAATGGTTTCCAAAAGGATAATGAGTTGGACATTAGCCTATACCTTGAGATTGCCCAGGGATCTAATCCATTTCAAGCTGTTCTTTATTGTACGTGTGATTTTTCTACTCTCCAGAGACCCCACTGCCTCTGACATGGGTGCCTGCCCGCCTGCAATTACATCCTATTAGTCACTGATTGATAGCGTCACTGAAGGGTTTCTATAGCACAAAACGAATTAAAAGGCGAGTGACAATAAATAAATAAATAAATGTATAAAATGCCACTCCTCATTGGACACATTTTTTGGCCTCTTTGAATCATTTCAGTGACTAATGCAGTTTTTATTCACAGAAAAAAGTAAATTACTGTATATGTGGATCACTGTACCACACACGAACACAATAAAAACTGCATCACCAAGTCGGCCTCCAGCACCAGTTGGAGGCATTTGCTTATTTCTACACAGCGTTAGGGCAGAGAGCTTTTACTGCGTTACTATGATTGATAAGGTCTGTGGTTTAACCGTTATGATGAAAATGTGTGTGGAATAATATGCCAGACCTGTTGTACCTGGTGTGTTACAACCTTATATTGTTACTGTACCAGTAATATCACAAGCAGCCCACACACTATCAGTAATGTTCTTCAAGTACTTCACTTCTGTGGATGCTCTTTGTGTCTTTGTACTCATATTTCTTCTCTGATCTATCACGTTGCATGTGTATCGCTCTAAAGCGTGGCTGTGTGTACTTGTGTTGCTGATTCCAAGAAACTGCCTCTTGCTCCTCAACCCCCCACCATCCTTCCAGTAGCTTCTCTTGTTGAATTACAGCCCTCGTCTCTCCTCCTCCTCCTCATTTCTGTCATTGCCCCTGCCTCTGACTGAGTGACAGTGTGGGGTCTGGCTACTCTCCTGTCGTGAGCCCTGCATTGAACGCTGTGTTATTGCCCCCTAATTATCAATTACAGGGCTCGACTTCCACACCTGGAGCAGGCCAGACTTGGAATGCACTTAGCCCATTAGGATGGACCTCCAACTGGGCTGTTTATGGAGGGGGCTGGGCTCTACCCTCTAGAGGTGTTAATAGGCCTTCCAGGGGCGCAGTCAGCAGGCTGATCCATCAGAGGGTCTGCAGGCAGCTTCATGCTGCATTGCTGTTAGGATTTTAGTATTTATTACAGT